ATATCTAGAGGGATGGACGCTAGCACTCACATCCCTGGTGGCTTGGTTCCTGCTACTCGCTAACCCGGAATGCCGGATTCTTTGTGTCTAGGATTACGATGATGTATAGAAGAACTCACACTCCGTGGATTTACCATCTATTGCGTTTTCGGACCTAGGCTTCCTAGACCCTAGCTATTTCCACGTCTTGCCTCGCAAAGATTTTTAGCACGCGTCTCCAAAGAAGGTAGGCTATTATCATTATTGGTCTTCGTAGGTATAATGCATTGATAGCTGAGTGTAGTAATTGGCAACGTTTTTGATCGAAACTGTTAAGGGTTGGCAGAGAATGCATGCCACACTTTTTTTTTCGGATTTTAATTGCGTATGCAGCTATCTAGCTATGACACAATATCAAAGAAAAGTACAGAATAGATGATTCAACGTAAAGGAAGAGTACTCATGCCTCAGATTTCATTTGCAATGCACGCCACACTACACGCATGAGAGAAGTTAGAGTATTTAAATCCGGTTCATTTTCAGCTTGGAATTTGGCTGTTGCGCCTTAGACTTGAAGAATAACATACTCATGTTCCGATGCCGAACTAGCTTTATTAAGATGGGCGTACCATCGTCTTATTGCGGCAAGAACAGGCCACGGGGACTACGCCGGCTGCCATCGACGTTTCAACCCCGAACATGAAGATCTGAAATGCGTTTGCGGTCGAGAGAAAAGGCCCTGGCATTTTTCAGAGTGCCGACCTGCTCTGCTACGTTGGAGAATCTATGAGAAAATGGCCCCACCTGGGGCCAGGGAAATGATAGGGGAGAAGGGATAGCAGAAGTTCATTCAATCCTTAACTACAAGCAGATGCTACAGTCTGCCGAAGAATGAACAGGGTGGGAGGTGACCACGCTGAGATTGTTTCTGACCCGAGAGGAGATGGATATGGAAGATAGGGATGCGGCGCAGGGCACCGTAACTCAGACATATACTATTCTTTTTTTTTCATTCTTTTCTTTTTTCGCTTCTGGCTCCACTGCCGGTCATGTAGGTAGCAATGAGCTTTCAGAGCCCATCTACCCGTGTCACTTCTAAATAGATGTTAGGTTCTTCCTGTCACGTAAAAGATTTCAAATTCAAATTCATGTTCCGATGCCAGCGTCCAAGCTTGCGACCAAGATTTCAATACTTCTTGCCTCAAATATTTCAAAAATAAATACTAGTAAGGATCTTTCTAGCTCTGAATTCATGAAATGATCCTACGAGTCTGTGAAAATAAATTCAGATTGAGATGATTCTCTTAGCGATGACTGCCAGAGTAGTCCACTCATTTACAGTCGGAAGCGATGACTTTGTCTTCTCGCGCTTGAAGGCGCGCGTGATAACTTTTGCAGTAAATGCGCACAAAGCATAAAAATAGCACTCTCCGATAAGTGTGCTGTTTGGTTTCGCGACGCCTAGATTGAGAGAGTATATGTGACTTATTCGGTGGAACAGTTCTTCTACTTACCTGTCATTTAATTAACATCGTGCCCGCGCACAGCACGTGATTATCAGCCTCGTACAAAATTTCTCATGAGAACCAATTCTCAAAATTCACTCTCAAAATACACATGAAGCTTACAAAAGTGTCATTCCTGAAAATTAAGAGTCTTCCGACCGTTAGATCAAAGGTTCCTGCCATATATCGCGTGTTTTCATCTTCTGTAATGGATATCACGGCAACCCCGGCCGTCGGCCAACACATCAACCATGAGGGAAAGCAGTATACGACTATCAAGGAAGGAATGGCCTACATATTAATTCCCGCTGAAGCATCAAAAGTACCTCAGCAAACACCCAAGGGAGAAAACCAATCTCAAGATGTCTTCTACAACCCAATCCAACAATTTAATCGAGATCTCAGCGTTCTGGCGATCAAAGCACATGGAGAATATATGTTGGAGCAATGGGAGAAAGGGAAAAAGCGTAAAGAACCGACAGATAGAAGGAACGGTAAAGATAGGAAACGGAAGCGGAACCAAGGCTCTATGGATGTTGAAGCCTCGCGGAAAACTAGCCGAGTAGATGCAACTTCAGCATGTGAAGAAAAAATAGTGCAGGAGATGAAAACCGAAGAGAAAGTGGAGGAGCTGCCTTCAACTCGCAACGAACCAAATGAAGAGGCAAAAAATCTTCCAGATCCAGAGGATATCCCAAAGACTGTTATTGAACCCGCGGAAACAACTAATATAAATGATGAAGAGTCACAGAATACAAAGGTCGAAGCGCAAAAATTAGATAAAGCAGCGCGGCCCAGCTTTACTATTCTTGATGCCCTTTCCGCTACAGGTCTTCGCGCACTCCGCTATGCCCAGGAAATCCCCTTTACAACCTCTGTCACTGCAAATGACCTCTTGTCATCCGCGACCAGGCAAATCAAGATAAATATACATCACAACAAACTTGAAACAAAAATTAACACCTTGACTGGAAATGCCATAGCTCATATGTATAGTTTAATCGATGCGCCAATGATTTCCAGTGGACCAGCGAAACCTGCCAAATATAGTGTCATCGATCTTGATCCCTATGGAACTGCTGCGCCCTTTCTGGACGCAGCCATACAAGCAGTTCAGGACGGTGGCTTGCTCTGTGTAACGTGTACAGATGCCGCGGTATGGGCTTCGAACGGCTGGCCAGAGAAATGCTTTGCTCTGTATGGTGGAATGCCCCTCAAGGGGCCACTATCTCACGAAGCTGGTCTTCGACTTATACTGCACGCCATAGCAACTTCTGCGGCACGTTACGCTCTATCTATCACACCGCTACTATCGCTGTCAATCGACTTTTACGCTCGGGTTTTTGTGCGTGTCAGAAAGTCTCCCTTGAACGTCAAGTTTCTGGCTGGAAAGACAATGATGGTATATAATTGTGATACAGGGTGTGGTGCATGGACAACGCAGCTGCTGGGCAGAAATAGATATTCCACAACAAAAAAAGGAAACGAGATGTGGAAGCATGGTCTAGAGCAAGGACCTAGCGCCAAAGAAACCTGTGCAGAATGTGGATTCAAAACACACATCGGAGGTCCTATGTATGCCGGACACTTGCATGACCCAGAATTTATACAGCGGATTATAGATAATTTAGAAACTCTGGATGCGGATATTTATCAAACCATCCCCAGAATTAGGGGTATGCTTACTGTCGCTCTAGAGGAGTGTCTACTGCCGATTACACCGGCTGAAACTTCGATGACGAATGTTGGACAGAAAGATATGACACCTATTCCTCCAGATTCGCAAGCACTCATCAATGGTCCCGCTGTAATTGACCCCTCTCCGTTTCTTTTTATGCTGCCCACCCTTAGCAAGGTTGTCCATACCGTTACGCCGCACGAAAATGCTTTCCGCGGCGCCCTACGCCACCTGGGATATCGCGTAACGCGGAGCCACACCAAGGGCGGATGTATCAAGACTGACGCGCCCTGGAGCGTGATCTGGCGCATCATGCGAGCCTGGGTTGAGGAGAAATCTCCAATTAAAGACGGCTCTGTGCGCGAGAATACTGCTGGTTGGAAAATACTTGGGTTAGGCATGAATCCAGAAGAACGAGAGAAGCGAGGTGTTGAATGTGGATTAGGCAACGACCAGTCAAGCGACAGCCTGATTCAAGTAGTTTTCGACGAGAAACTCGGCTCAGAAAAGGACCGAAATAAGCTCGTGCGCTACCAGCGTAACCCACGCGAAAACTGGGGCCCTATGGCGAGGGCAAAGGCAAAGCCCAAAGAAAAAACTCCCACTGAATCATCTTAAGCCGTGAATTAAAATTTGATATTTCAGATTATCCATCGGGCACGTTATCTTCAAATGAATGTCCCTTTTAACATGAGGCTAACACGGTAAACTCCCAGTTAAGGAGCGCGAGGAAGAAGCAGACCTCAATTGCCATTATGCATGGCCTTGGCTCACTGCAAATGAGTCAACGCCACATTTAGAGGTTTGACTAGCCAACATTTTTGGCCCCTGTGGCTTTGTCAACGTTTGGCTTGAGTAATCGAACGTCATACTGATTCAAGCGTGCCCTGTTTATTCGTGAGCTGTATTAATCATTTGCCCTTTACCCGCAGGTCCCATCAGTTGTGCTTGTCACTCCCATTCAATCACTACAAACCCTTACTGCCTCAGCCATTCACTACGCGTATGGCCAAATCTTTCAAGGCAGGCTTTATATTGCGCTCTTCCCGAATGCACACCCCTCTTAAACAACTATTCTTACTTACAAGCCGACCAGCTATCTCTTACGATGACTTCCACGGTCAAGCACCTACAGAAAAGTTTACATGATTCCGTTGCTAGCAGTGATAATGACTCCATGAGGGTGCATAGTGTAGAATATGCCTATTGAAATCGCCGTGTGGCTAGGAAAGTAGGAACTATAACCCCAATTAAAACTAGGATATATTCTCCCATCAATAAAGGTCATATGGAATTTAGGCTGAGTGTTAGTCGGTCAGCTCAAGCAGTAACACTAGGTATGCTCGGTAAATCTGCGTATTTTGCCTGCATCGATTCTGCCATCGTCAACAGCATATGATCCACATCATAGATATCCTTCTGCTACAACAATAGAAATTGCAGAGACCCCAAACATCTAGTCTCACCTGATCTACTAATACTTGACGCCCGGTTAAAGCCACAATTGTTCGTCCCTGACTTATATACCAAAAGTTGTGAATTATAATCCCCAAATTGATATTTGTGAACAATACATCCTGTTAAGAAAAATTCAATAAGCCAAGAATTGTAACCATATATTTGATGTGAACAGATTGGTGACAGGTACCAGATGATCTTTATATCGAAAATATGCATTTTATGCCACTAACATCTAGGGATATTCCTGGAACCCCCCAGATATGAACGCCACACCATCTTTCCAGAAGAGATTTAAATCAGAATTATCTGTTTCATTAAACGCCATACTTCCACTTTTTGACAATGCTTTGTTAAATTCTTGTGCACTTTCATCAAGTTTATAATATCTTTTTTTCGTCAGTGTTAATCGTGTTATGTTGAAGTGGCCTCTCCATAGGTTCAGAGTGAGTGTGAGGTCTGAGCCCCTCGGGATCTTGACTATAGTCCTGAGTTACGTATTCATCAAGGAGAGAGCTTGGATCAACATCCCGCGCTACAAATCGTATTTTAATACGACTTATGCCACGAACACTAGATCCAATGATGTCACGCACTCGTCCTTCGACTTCTGAAGTTTCTCGTAAAGTCCAGGTTGAGGGTACGGCTAGCTGTACATCTACTAAGTAGTTCGGACCTGATTTGACGCCTTCAATTCCTCGGAGTTCAACTTGGGACTTGACAGGATCAGATGCGAATTTTTCCTCAAATTTGAGACTGATGGAAGTCTTTATCTCATCATCAAGTCCACTATCTGCCAATTCGTAAATAGCCTTAACTGTATTTCCCCATCCACCTTTGATTACTAATAAAGAAATTAATAGACCGCCGACTGGATCAAGCCAAGTTGCTTCTCGCAAGAAGTTTGCGCCAAGAATCGCAAAGAGTGTGACAATTCCTGTAAGAGAATCAATTCGATGATGGATTGCATTAGAAGCTAAGACTGAAGAGTTACGCTGACGAGCTATCTTCATGGCTGAGAAGACGTCAGGAGTGTTGTTAGAGTAGGGTTAAGGGAAGATTACTCACTAGCATGATAAAGCCATTCTTTAACGAAGATAGTTCCAAGAGCTAGCCAGGCCGCATGTAAACTAGGTCCAGTATGAGAGCCGTGAATATGACCATGATGACCATAGACCGCAGCTTCAGCGACGTTGTCGAGTAAGAAGTGCGCATAGAGTATTTCGCAGCTATTGAGACACATGAAACCACCCCCGATAACAAGCATACCACTCACTCCTAGCGCACCGAGGCTCTCCACCTTTCCATAACCCGTAGGAAAAGTAGAGCTTGGTGGTTTGGTGCTCCAAGAAACCGTGGCGAGCGTAAGAATATCACTTGCCATATCCGTTAGACTATGCCATGCGTCGGCGACAAGTGCCTGTGAGTTAAAAGTATAGCCTCCAACTGCCTTGATAATAGCCATCCCGAGATTAGAGAATAGTCCTAGTCGGGTTATTTGTACACCAGCGTCACTCTTGTTTGTGGATGTGAGATAGGAGTTATCATGGTGGCTGGATTGAGCGTGGCCATGATGATGATGATGATGGTGATGGGATGATCGAGTTTGGCTGGTGCTGGTGGCGGAGAAAACGGCAGCCATGGGTTGGGCAGGAAAGTGTCGGTGGCTGAATGGGTCGGTTGCGAGTGAGACGAAATACCTTTGTACAACAACCGGTAAGCTGCGGCCAGTAGATTGTACTTGTGCAGAAGTGGCAACCTGGACAGTAGGAATTCGTAGAGGCAGTGAGATTGCAAGAGTTGGAGGAGTAGCGTGGGAAAGAGCCGCTCGCCGATTTGGCGAGTTCAGCACTGATAAACCTAACGGGCATCCACGAGGGACGCCGCGGTAAGGCATAGGTGGTTGAATCGAATATGGGAGAGAACTGAGGATCAAGACTGCGAAATCTGAATTCCTTCGTATCATGGCCTCTTGATAGCCTCATGGGAGCAGAAGCTCATTCGTTCACGTCCAACTTCCCGGCCGTGGCCCGGAAGGTTAAGCAGAAGTGGCCGAGCATCCACAATTTTCCTCCCAAATCCCCCATAGAATACGAAATAAATAAACTTGATTCCGACAACCGATCGAGCCATTAAGATATATTGCGTAATCTAAAATTATACTTGCTGTCTATAACTGTATCGGGCAACAAGCGTGATTAAATAGTCATGTGACTCTGTATTTGAAGTGGTAGTGGTGGCCAAGCACTGAAGACTGTGAGTGGAGAAAAAATAGGACATCGGTCCACAGTGCCCTCTACGTAGTTAAGGTTGATACTTCATGCCAAAGTCAATATCTAGGCAATCTCCGCGAATGCAAACTAGAATTATCGTAGTAACATTTCAGTAAGACGAACTTTCCCTGTCCCTTTTTGGTCGAGTTTCCGCACTACAGATACTTGAAAAGCAAACAAATGGATTAAGAGTCATAATATTCATTCACAAACTGAGTTGGTCTTAGGCTTTACTGAGCGCTGCAAATATCTTTCGATGTTTTAAGCAACCACTGATTCTATTCCATTAAACAATATCGTACCGAAAGCATGACTTGCGAGCTTCAATGCAATCTATCACACATCAAAAAGTAGACCGAACAGGTTAAGGGAGCTTTAGATTATTCAAGTGTAAGATATCTGGTATATACGCTAGATACATCTACTCTGAGCAACCTGGACTGAAATTACTACAGAGAAGCCAGTGGTATTAAAACGGATGAAGAAGTCGAATTTTGACTATGGAAGTGTTACACTCGAGACATAATAGAGCTTCGCACCCCCCAATTCTTGTCACATTTCTAGGGCGCTAGCATGTCGGGCAGCCTAGAAAGACCAAGTTAATCAGTAGGGTGTCTTTATTTTCATCTGGCAGTCAACAAAATTTCTTGTTTCAACATAAGCAAGATTTTTGTTTAAAGAAGGAAGTTAACGTCCTCAGCGGTGTTCTTACCAGCCTATTGCTAAGGCTTGAATTGCTCCTTCCATAGATCTGGGGAATTAATCAAAGAATTCTGGCTAGAAAAGATAATGTCGGATTAAATATTGTTCGAATCCTGTAAGGCATGAATATTTTTTAATCATTTCGTATATATTGGAATATCTAGAAATAGATTTGTGCGTTAATCTACATAGCATCAGATGAGATCTTTAACAAGGTTATAATCGTAGGATTCAACACATCCAAGACGAAGTGAGGGAGTTGTTAAACTAATAACCTCTACCACTAAAATTAGCCGGAGAGAGGAGATAGCTACAAGATAACAGCTTCTCAGAGTGTGTATCTCAACGAAGACCCATGGAAATATTATATCTTGAGCGAGGTCGTAGATGAGGCATATATGGGTATACACTAACCGGATCTCAGATTCTCCTGATTTACAGACGAAAGAACCTACATGTCATTTTAAAATAATGTATCCCAGCAGGGTATTAGTATAGCAGCTGTGCGCTGAAGTTGCTAGTGTGTACCTCAAATTCATGCGTTGAATTTAGTAATATATACTAGTTTCTTCCGAAGATAGACCTAAAAATCTTTGATGGTCTAACGGTTATGATTTCCGCTTGTCACATGCACATCGCGGGAGACCGGGGTTCTACTCCCCGTCAGATAGATAATATATTTTAGTATTTTGCACATGACATCGTCTGATGATTGTCTTAATCACTCTAAGACGTTACCTCATCATCTATCGGCAAATATCAAGCATAACAATATCCAAATTTACTATTGACTTAAAAGATATATAGGTAGTTTTAGCTATCCTTCATGGTCATTGACTCAGTAGGTCCAGGTATTCATACCTATCCGTTCTGTTCTTATGCCACTAATCTTCCGCTAGTTTCTGTACGCGGATTATGACCTGGCGCTTGATAGCTGCAAAAGTCAGAACTTCGTGAGCTTCCTCCCAGATGCACAGTGGTCCCGGTATGTTTCCATCCCGACTATTTGACGCAAGGATTGCCTTTGCCATCGCATCGGCCTTTGCGTTTCCTGGAATGCCGCTATGTCCCGGAACCTAGTAGACCTCTATCGATGGTCGAGTCTTGCGTAGTTCCCAGAAATTCATGACCTCTACTTGCGAGGAATTTTTTCTGCCATTTTGAAGGGCTCTGACCGGCTCTTGATTGTCAAGGAGTACCTTGATATCTGTGTTACCTCCAATTTCTAACGCTGCCTCTAAGCCTCGTACTGCCCCAGTGATTTCCGTATCAAAGACCTCAGCTCCAGGAAGGAATTTTCCACCGCCCCTATATATGGCGTGACCATAGGCAGAGTATGCTGGGACGGTCGATAGCCCATCCGAGTAGACGCAGAGTGTTCCTGGCGGAAGATCCCTGAGTCAAAACATGATCTGCTCCTTCTTTTCCTCCTTGTCGCATTCGGCCCTGGCAGTAGCCATCGCGGTCTTTGGTCGGTAAAGCTGCCCAGGCTCTTCTGATGCCGGCAGGCTGAGTTTCTCTTTTGTAGGCGTGTTAGGTACCGCTGTGGAACCTTAAAGATACGTCCTTTCTGCCCCTCTCGGAGTTTGAGTTGTTTTATAGCCTCCATGGGTGTCTAAACTGCCCTTTTCGACAATTGGTTGATAGTTATCGAGTCAGCGGCTTCTATCTACACTTCAGAGCTGTCGCTGCTGTAGTATAATTTCTGCCGGTAAGATGCCTAATTCTCAGCGAAGTACTATATTCGGTGTAGTTGGCCATACCGGTAGTGCAGCTTGAACTGCGGTTAAAATAGTCATATCCAGAAGTTTGAGGTGCCATCCAACACCCGTACTTACCTTCTTATTTCGTATCGCAGTGATACGGGTGAGTCCAGGCCACCAAACTTCAGCGCCATAGAAAGCTGTACTGACTACACATGCGTTTACAGCGCGTATTAATGGTCCGGGTGCGCCTCGCTGGACTTTGTTGACGGTACGTAAGAAATTTGATAACCGTTGTGCCCTACTACACCATTGCTGAACATGCTGTTTAAATGCCAATTGTGCGTCCAGCCATACTCCCGGCCATCGAGTGTGTGGAGATTGTATATTAAGCTGATCAGCAACTTGAACCAAGAGGCTGGATGAGTCAAGTTTCTTCTCCGATCCTCCCCGATAACCAGTAGCTTGGACTTCGAAGGGTCAAATCTAATCATGTGTGTCGCAGCCAGTTGAAATATCCTATCCAATTCTTCCTGGACAGCCTTAACAGCTTCACTAGGATTTTTACCGACTCGAATAATGGTGATGTCGTCTTCATATCCAAATCTTTAGTTGGCGGAGCCTTTTTCGATTAGAGTGCAAATTTATAACATGAATAAAAGTGGCGAGTGTGGTGATACTTGGGGGACACCGCACTCAACGGGCTTTTCCCCAGTAACACCCTCTTTGTATCTTACCAAAACTCTTCTCTGTGTCAGATAGGATTTGACCCAGCGACAGAGGGAATATGGCCAGCCCTGACTTCGCATTCGTGCAAGCAGCCAATTGTGTAGCACTGCATCTAAGGTACCTTCAATATCCAGCGTGACTATAGCTGTAACTTTGTTAGATCTCATTGCAGCTTCAGCATCATGTTTAACACATGATACCAAGTCGACTGCTGAGGGTCCTGGTAGCGCGCCGAATAGTTTTGGAGGTACTGCTTTATGCTGTATTGCGAGCTAGGACATCCATTTAGCCACTAGTCTTTCAAGCCCTTTATCTAAACAGGAAAGTAGTGATATGGGTCGCCATCCTTTTGGGCTGGAGAGATCGCGTCCAATTTTAGGAAGTAGCACGACTTCAGCCACCTTAAAAGGCGTCGGAAAATATTCCAAGTTCAAATAAGCCTGGAAGAGATCCCTGACGTACCTTCCATTCGTATTCCAGCAAGTCTCGAAGAGTCGAACGGTGATTTTGTCATACCCTGGAGCAGTTTGTTTATTTCCAATGGTTGACGCTGTAACTTCTTCCAACGAGACCACTCCGTTCCATGGAATATACTCTGGTAGACCATCCTCCCACGTATCTATATCGTTACTTGCGTCGAATCTTGTAAGGAGGGAATCCCGCAGTGCAATCGTCCGCTTTAATGGATCTGAAAGCCACTGGTTGGGTGATACCTTTAGGGGAGGAGGTTCCTTCGCCGCCTTAGGTTTAACCTATCGTATCGGTTTAAACATTTGAGCCTCTGTCTCTGCTGCCTCGACTTGACTTGTCTAAAATCCACGTTTTGCTCCCTTCACTGTTGCTCTGAACGCCTTTCATGTTAGTTCTACGTTTTCAGATAAAGCTTTAGCTATCCTACAGTCAGTATGTCGCTTTTTGCAGTCATTAATCCACCAGGGTGCTGTTTTTCCTCTGCTTATTGCGGGTACCTGTCCTACAACTTTGACCGCGTCTTGAAGAACTTGAATCAAATCCCTCGTGTAGTTTTCAATTTCAGTTTGACTACTGAGGGGCCCATTGGCAGGAGATAGTATTGACATAGATATTTAAGCAGACGAAAGTCTATTGAACAGGGCTATAGCTCATAGGCAAGATGTGGATCAACAACAGGTGTATGGAACTTACTAATTGCGCACATGGGGGCGTTGGAGAAGGTACTAGAATGGCCTCAAGTAATTATTGGGGGTGGCAAGGGATCACAGAGACGGGTATTAGAATAGGACTCTCGTAGTTGTAGAGAAGTATAAAGTAGTGAAATCTTTTGATGATTAATTGCCTCCTCGATCTGGCTCTGGTCCGTATGATCACGTGTCTTTCTCATAATGCTGCCGTGAATTCTCACAAGATATATTCCCTGACAATTATTTCAGTAAGCTAGCTTTTCGGTCAAACCATCGAGTATACCCTAACTAAAAGTGTGGGACAAAAGTCATAGGACTCTTCACAATTGAATCTCATATCCAGGGCTGTACGTTTATTGAACGCTTTTGGATGCAGGTGGATAGTCGCTATCCACTAGGCATGTGATCTCGTGGGCTTCTTAGTCAAAAGAGTATGAATTACATATTATATTATTGCACATGGGTACAGACAAACAATGCTTCACTTTAACCTCCAATGGAGCAAAACACCTAACGACTTGGCTCCGAAGTCAAAATATTTTGCTTGATTATTGCTTGCGCCCATAATTGATGCCACTCACTACACTCAAACTTTATTAAAAATATCAGAGTAGAGCACTCGCTGTAGACTCCAGAAATCTCCAGGTTGATATCATGACCAAAAAAGCTTTTGAATACCCGAAGATTTACCTGACTGCAATGTATAAGTATGACGTATTGAGCACCCATGACAGGTATCTTTTAGTAGACAAGGGCGACGTTTTTCGATGCGATGAAGTATTTTTTGCGAAAGGAACTGCCCAGAGACAGACCGAGCTATCTTATCAACAGATTAAATGAGGTGACATGAATCCAAACAGCCAAATCCAGCTGCAATACCACCTTCCTCGCTCTGGTCGCCTTTAGTTCTCAGGAGGTAATCAGCCTGCTCGTTAAATATAGTCTTCTTAGTGGCGTTATCCCATAGACATACTCCATAGATTCCAAGTTCACAGATGACACCACCACTATAGATTTCACCATTCCGAAGAATGTGATTATACACGGGTGGTTGAGTGATAATCTCCATCAAGATGAAGGCTTTCCACTTTTCTTCGGGAAGAGACTTGAGAAAAGGAGGAATGGCTGAGCGATAAACATTATGTCCGCCTCCCTCCCTTTGTGGCTTTAGCACATAGTTTTTGCAGAGCTCTGGGTCTGTGGCTAGGTTGCGCGCCTTGAGACCAGCCGGAGAGGAGTCCAAAGGGAAAATCTCGACGAACGTTTCTTGGATTTTCATTGGTATATACCCTCGGTCTTCCTGGGAGAAGAACTGTTCCAGAATGGATGGAGTAGTCGATGATGGCGCTGGAGTGGCAAGCACTTGCTGAACTTTTTTGGTACCGGCTAGTTGGGTTAGGATAGAAGGACACTTAATGGCGTTGGATCTTTCAAGTTGGTATCGCGCATCCCAGTCTACCTCATTTGGGTAGTGCGATATGTCGTAACCAGCCCGTAAGTACACTACAGCCACCTCAAAAGTTTTGGCCGGATTGCTAGGTAGAGAGTACAAGAGCTCTCGCTTTGGTGTATTTGCCACCTTTGTGCAACTGAGTATTTCAGAAAAATGAAGACGAAAGACTGGCACGGTTGACGCTGAACTCTTTAAAATGTATTCAAGATGACGCTGATCAATTATGTTTTCTTCCCAGGTTTGTACAACGAAGAGGATACAAGAAGTTTTATTAGATGATTGTCTGGAGTATTCATGAAAAGCCACAAGTAATCCTCGGCTGATCTCGAGGGCACTCTCATTCTGGGGTAGATATGCCGAGTCAAGTCTTTCATCATAGCTGTTAAGTGTAGGATAAATAGTACCAATTAGGTACCTATAGTCTAGAGGGTTACCACGGGTTTTATCGGGATAGTGGTCGGACGGATCGTACCTGTGGAGTTTTGAGGTCAGGGAAGAAAGACCGGCAAAAGATGCCGAAATGGTGTTAAACTCGACTTGCTTGATGACAGGCTTACAGTCATCGCTAGGCACATGGGCTAGATAGTCAGATCGGAAAAGTCCGAGGCATAGGTTCTTTTTAAAAGTGAGCACTAAATGTCTACAAGGTTGTAACAGATGCGCAAACCTGAGTGTATCCCTCAGCCTTGACTTTCCCGTGAATTTTCCACAAACGAGCTGAGAATTCGTCCGACTCAAAAACACTACAAGAAATTATCAAGAAGTATCATCAGAGATGAGACGTATGTCAAGCTTACTCCCCTAAGACTTCCAGGAGGAAATTATCATCCTGAGAGACGGCAGCATACAATTGATTGAAGTCTTTTTGTATTGCTTTGGCATGGGTAAAGCAGTCCCGAGGGAAGGGACTAGGAAATAAAGTCACAGGGGCAGTTGTCGCAAATCTTTGGTTTGGATTTGATTGCGTTCGAAAAGTACCTTTTGCCGGGATTATGGCTAATCCGTTTGAGGCAGACCAATCCTCGATAGTGGACACTAGCAATTCTTTTTCTGATTGAGAAACTTTGGTAATCATCTTAATGTTGGAGAAGTCTCAACTGGAGTAGGTGACTTATAACTTCTAATTCGGTAGTCGTTTATTCATGCCAAAAAACTGTGGGATTAAAAACCTTATATAGTCATAAGCCCCGCTTTCTGCAGGAGCTTCCATTTACGCTAAGCAAAGATATGAGAGGTAACTTGAGATTTGCCGTGGTGAGTCTTAATGAAATCTCTGATCTCGATCCCTCTTTCTTTCATCGGGTAGATAGTGGTGGATCCCGGGGAGTAGAGCGATGTATGGGTAAAGTTTCAAGAGCCCTGGGTCGTTTGTTTCTAGACTAGGAGATTAATACTAGATCGATGTCGTGTCGTGTCGGGAGAGGGGGCGGCATGGTCAATCAAAGTCAAACGCGCCTGCGATGGCGTGGTTTACCTCGTCGCAGTCGACGTCAGTAAGTCCATGACGAGAAAAGAGAGAGTGACGAGGAAGCAAAGCTTTCCATCTTTCTTGGGGCAGGACGGTCTTGAGTGACAAATGTATGTGAAAAATTACTTTCCGACTATCTAGGTAGTCCCACTCTGGACTTGAAATCTGCATGGTCCAAAATGAGGCCGCTCATCTCAACAGCCGTTACAGTTTTGGCTTTGACCCACATTAGATTCCGTGCCTTCATCAGAGGACCCCGCTACAAACATGGTGCAGGTGTGGGATGGAAGGTGGGATTAGATAACCTGGGTCAAAGTAATCGTTGAGGTGGATTATTATCAAATACTTGAGTTGCCAGGTGATACTGCGCGAACGGATTGCGCACAATCTTAGTTTCGCGATATTGTCGCGTGACTTGAAACCCCATTCAGACACAGCCTCCGACAGCTTGGCCTTCTAGCCGTCCTTTGCTTATTTGGTTGGATTTCTCAGATACTAGAGCAGTTAGCTCTAGCGCCCTTTGCCATTAATTGTAGTTAGCGCAAACAGGTTGCGGCCCGTGTTATTATTATTATTATTATTATTATTAATTCATTACTTTGTCCTATCTGAGTCTATGATTATGTAGGACGTCTAGGTCCTCTCTGCCTAGAGGGCCAAGGATATCTATGCCTCCCATTCAGCAACCCTCAAACAGTACCACTCCTCACAAGTCCTTATTCGATCATACATTTAGAGAAGTCCTTTACCATTCATTATCTCCGCTCTCGAGCCAACGAAACGAAGGCCATTTGCGGTTGTATTGCAGCCGGGAAAAACCGCAAATACCACATAGTGCAGGGCTCTTCTAAAACCGACGTTAGTATTAAATCCGAAGACATAGTGGCCCTTCTTAATCTTTAGAAGAGGCTGGCCAGCTGGGCGCTGCAGACTTGAGTGAACCTCGGAAATTCACACTCTGTCTTTCTAGCCTCCTTCCAACTCTTTTCCGAAGGTCGTGCTAAATTGTCATAAAAGTCTTGACAGAGCGTAATTCTGTATGGTAGCTTAGCCCAACTTTTTTTGTGCCGTCCAGAGCTCTGGAGTGTGCCGTTGACTTATCGATGATAGAGGCCATCCTGGCTAACAGGCCGAGATCTCGGTCTTGGCTCCCAAATCATTTCAAGGTCGATAATACGTCAAAGATGTCAATTCCAGCTTACCTACCGGAAATCTTTTCCTTTTCTTGTTCCACACCCCAGTTGCCTGTCCTCCCTCAATATGTGAAGCTCCACTATAGCAACGATCCCCACAAACTAAGACCCGGGCTGTGTATATCATGACTTAATTTGCTCCATGCGGATATACGTAGTGTCGTGAAATTGTAGTTGATGATGGCTAGTAATTAATAAGGAAGATTCTATTAACAATTGGAATAACGCCTATATCCGTCTCCAAAGCAAGGTGGCGTACGAAGATTGTGGTACAGAACTCGCGTGAGGAAGACAAGACCAATAATGAAGAGAATTCATCGATAGTAGATATGCCTGTACTTGATTTTGAATTCGATCTGGGTGCGATTCTTCTTGGCTATCCCAGATGTGCAGAGCATACTGAGCGATTACACTGGCATCACTGGAAGGTGAAGAATCCGACTTTGCCAGCCCGTATGAATCTTGAAGCGATGTTGATAATTTGCCCTCGCTCACATCTTATCTTAGTCTAGTGCATTTTGCATGAGCAAATAATTTTTATCCTGATAGTTTGTCAGTATTGAATTCCCAATGAACGGCGCCTAGTTCATGGGGGCCAAAAGATTACCTGAATTTAATAAACAGAAGGGGAGAAACGAAGTTATAGCCTACCTACTAGTGAACTTCGATCCAGTTGAAAGCTTACAACACTGATCAACGTGTTAATATGAATCCGTTGCTATGCTGTAAGTTGTCATGCACCGCGTCATTTGCTATGTCACTCCTATACCTCGCGCTCAGACACTATTTCTGCGTAGTTATCATATAAATATCGTGACAACATTGCCTCTGAGTTTTCTTTAGCACACATCTGAACATGTCAAGAAACCTGCAGGAGTAAAAGCATGACCAAATTTCTATATCTATCAGTAGCCTTCACGCCTCATCACTCTACTGACTTATATCCAATAGCTGCGATGAGGATTTAGAACGTCTTAAACAGAAACAACTAGGGCGCACATAAATTCTACCTCTGGTAGCAAAATTATAGTTAAAATTTTTACAACTACGATTCCACTAGGTAAAAGCTATTACGACTCCAATTCAAGACACTTGATAAACAATCCGCTGAATGCGGCTGAATTTTATTCTAACTCTGCTTTCCAGTTACTGTTCGGGAACGTTGCTATTCGAGTCTAAATAAAGGATCCAAGATGATTGATCAAAGCCAACGGCGACCAAGCCTCACATCGCGCCTCGCAACTGTTTTCCGGCCGAAGAGATCCAAAAAAAATCTCAATATCCAAGCCGATACCAGTCTGACCACGATTCTTCAACACGAACACGGATCATTATGTAACGATACTATTTTTAAGTCAGATGCCAGAACTTTAGATGAGCAAACTGGTGAGCGTCGAGATAATACTGCCATGCTTCATGAACTGGCTCACTACGGATCTTTCGAGTCATTTGACAATGAGACCAAATTAAGCGTGGAGAATTTGCATGTGCCGGGAGAAAGAAATATTTCCAGACTACCTTGCATTCTCTGGCAGAAAATTGCAACTTATCTTTCTCTCTGTGATATTGTGTGTCTAGCCACTACTAGTAAAACTCTCCTACATCGGATCGGAACAAAACACTGGCATCTACTTCAAGAACCAGAGTATGAGGAGGAAAAAATTAAATTCCTTATAACCCTGAATCAACGACTTCCTCAGCATCTCTTATGTTTCCCCTGCGCTAAATATCATAAGCGAACTAAAATCGGAAATGAAACTCTTCGACCAACAATGGTCTTAAACCCACTCTTTGAGTGCGCCAGCGTTGGAAGGTACGGAAAGACCCAGCCAAAAATACGGTTGACACCTGGCCATACACTCCCCTTTTCATTTGTCCAGCTTGTGACTCGAGCTCACAATTATACGCCTAGTCACGGCATTCCTGTTCTGGACCTTTGTCGCCGCTACAAAGATCGCGAAGGTGGATGGAATCACCAGACTCGTTACTACATCCATCAGGGACACCTTTTGCTTCGAGTCATAAGTCAAAAATTTGCCGCGTCAGGTCTCCCAGTTAGCGGCCAACGTCACCTTCTTTATTCAAGGGAAGATTATAAGCCATACTTCTCTTGCTGTTCGCATTGGCGTGATGGGGACCTAATGGATATCTGTAAATGTGCTTTATCACATATTACTGATCCGTATCAGATGACATTAAAGCAGTCTACTATACAGCGGTCGCCAAGTTCTAGTCTCCTAGGATCTCTGTGTTCCTTTTGCAGGCCTATGCGCCGCTGTCCAGAATGCCCTACTGAATACTTGGTAGAGCTGAAGCTATCCGAGGACATAAAAGATCCCATTTTTCGATTTAAACAAAGTATCGTCATCACTAGATGGAGTGACTTGGGCAGTGGATTTTCGCCGTCACAGGAATGGTCAGCTGTGAATGGTGAGGCTGCCTACGAATCGTTTGCTAGACTTGGAAAACGAGCAATCTCGGCAACCTTCGAGGCACAGTCGGGTGTGGCAATACCAGGGCAGCGACTTATTTCTCTCAACCCCAAAAACTTGAAGCGCAGCGAAAAAGCTAACGATTGGTACTAAACCGATAAATTTACCACCAAATTAGACTTATGAAGCGTTCCTTTCTTCTAAAAGTCATATTAGATTATGCTATTCAAAGTTAAATGGTATATATATGAACAATTTAGCTACAATTCTTGGGGATATGTTAAAACGATTACTACTTCGGGCGTAAAAACACGCTTCATAGTCAACAGGAAATTGGTGCTCGAAGGCAATTCGCCATGATTTTAGGTCAGAAAATCGATAAATAATGAGTTTCTTGACTCATTCAGAAAATCTAGCCTTTAAATAGGGCAGTGATTCAAATTTACGATTCTAGAAAGGAAAACCTGCCGTAATAGACATATTGAATTAATGTTCGACTATATGCCTTATTACCCCGACTTCCAACCTTCATCGTTATGTCTCCTTTGATTCTCTCTTCGTCGCAAACAACTGAAGATGTTGACGCACCTTGTGAATTTTATAAGTCACAATGATGTGCAATACTATCTGAGTAAAGGCCTTAAATGCCAGGTTGCAACATTAATGCGCAGTTTTTGGCTAGTAGAACTCTAAGGGGGAAGAATACTCAAATACCTATCGCAATTATTCCAGCAAAATTTCCCATAGGGCATTCTCTTTGAAATAGTCATGGTGTATAATGTTGACCAACCACAAATCTTCATAAACTCCCTCCAGAAATTCTCGACTCATTTTACCACTCTTACTCCCAGATTCCGCACAAATTCTGGCCCACTCGGACCAGACACTGAAAGCTTCCTCAGCCCAAGCTCGGAGGCTAACTTCTTCTATAATTGTTGGCGTAATGATTTCCCTACCCGGAAATACACCCCAAGCTACGGCATTTGTGCAACGAGACGTGCGGCCCATTTCAGACGAGATATTAATGGTTGGATTTGAGGACTTGAACACATTATGAGCATTACATGCATACCAAGAGACGTCGGGCGCTATTAAGGAAGACTCAAGTCTAGTACGGAGCGCTGACCAGGCGGCGCTAGGAAGAAAGAATTCAATAAAGGCTTTCTGGAATACGAAACCACGAGGTGGGCCCCAGCCGAAGACAGGGTGCTGACTAGAGATGCCATTTACGGGCGGTTGGGAGGCAACAGTCCACCAGCCTTTACGATTTAAGGCACGAAGTGGAACTTTTATGGCCTCTGACTCATGACATAGATCGTCCTCGCTCCAGGGAATGGCGCTAATTGATCCCTCAATGTGTTGAAGAAAGATACTAGTTATCTCCTCGATCGAGGATGGATAACCCCAGAGTTGAATGGCTTGTTTTCTGCTCATATGTAGAATAACACAGGAACCATCAATCATACCGTAGGCGGGGGACTGCGAGTCGCCCCAGCGTCCATTCACAAAATCGTCCCGGGTAGCATCGCGTCCTAGGGAACCCTCGCCTTCTATTATAGCCAATGTTGCGGCGCGCGAGTAGTCAGGTTTTGATAGCGCGCTAGCTTCGGACATTGTAGCCTCAATTTGAGGATCTGAAGGTTTAGCCTCGGTTATCACAACGCGGTTGAACAGATCAGGATCCACTGAGTTGGTTGCTTGACGCGTGTCCTGAGAGCACGTGCAGTTGGTGTTTGGTTCGCACTCATTGCTATTAGCATTTCTATTAGACTCTAGTTCATCGATCGCTTGTGATGAAGGGATAAGTGAGGTGCGTTGGAGAATAAGTGCAACTGCTTTTTCCAGATTCAGAGTGTAGAAATGAAAGCCTCGCGTCCCGGGAGCGGATGAAGGTGTATGTTTAATGTGTGTTACAATTTCACTAACAATATCAACGCCTCTTTGCTTCACTAGGGCGTCATCGCTCCGTACAGAATCTAAACGTGCCATAAATTCTGGTGGTATTCGAGCATGGGCCAGTTTTATGGTTCGCTTGATAGTCTGATAACTTTGAATGGGCATTATGCCAGGTATAATAGGTAATTCCTTGAAGCAACCGCTATCATGTTCTCGCAGTACCTTTTCAAAGTGATCGTAAGCTTTAACATCAAAGAATAATTGGGTCATTATAAAGTCAGCACCTGCATTCACTTTATCCACGAGATATGGCAAGTCATGCATCAGGTTCTGTTCATCTGGATTTTCTCTATCCGCATGTCCTTCTGGATAGGCCGCTACACCTATGCAAAAGTAATCCCCATACTTTGCTTTGATGTAGCTAACCAAGTCAATGGCCCACTCAAACTCCACCGTATCCTTCTTATCGCTGTGATTCTTGATAAATTCTTGTCTCGGTGGATCTCCCCGCAGAGCTAGGATATTTCTGATTCCGAGAGCGCATGCCCTCTCTAAAATTCCGTCGACAAACTCCTGTGTCACGTTTGTGCAGGTTAGATGCAAGCATGTCGTCAGGCCCAGATCGCGCTGACACATAGCAGCGAGATCAAGAGATTTGGAGGCCGTAGCGCCACCCGCGCCCCAAGTAACAGTTACAAAAAGAGGGCAGAGTGCGCGCGACATGCGTTCAAGACGAGCGCGTAAGTTGGCAGTACCAGTGCTAGTCTTGGGGGGAAAGAACTCTAGAGAGAAGTAATTTTGGCCTGGCGGTAGGGCCTTGATTTTGTTACTGATCTTTTCCATGGCTTCTCGGCGGCTGCAATCGAAGATGTCTGGTGAAAATAACTGCAGAGCTGAGGGGTTTGGGTAGTGGGGTTGCTTGCTCAAATGCAATCAGTATGGGTTACTCGTAAATCATGTGATAATTATCTAGGCACGTTATTGTAAGGAAACGCTGCTTAGTCAGCCGGTTGATTGAGTGAATACTCTGGGTTCCTTTCTCCAGTATAATTACGAGTTGAATTCCATGTGCTCCGTTAGGATTTGCATCCTCAGACGAATTTGGACCATTTTCAGGTCTGGCAAGGGGGAATTCTCTCAATGCTTGTCAGTGATATCTCTTACAAACCTTCAGCGCTTACTGTAGAGCCTGCAGAGCCGAGTTTGAGTAACACAGTCCTCACTTCGATCAGAATTCCCAATCGCTTTCGCGGTCTATATCGTCTTCATACCTTAACATATTCTCCTATCACCATTACCATAGAGCTAATCACGATCAGATTAGATAGTAGGGTCGGAGCCCTTCTCATCACCAACCCTCGATCATGGAGGAGAAGCCATCTGATGAGTTTCCAGGGCGTAGCCAGCACCCGATACGGTGATGATGGACTGGATCAAGTCGGCCTCGAATGTTACAAAGAATGGAGATATAGATCAATTTACGCACCTCATGTGGTCCCGGTCTCTAGGCCTTGCCTAACTGGGGCTACAAGTTTTTTGAGACTTTTTCCCGCGCAGGCAGTTTCCATTGCTACCATTTCTATTTTTTTGGGTATAAGGTTCCATGGAAAAGGTGACCGGATTCCATGGGTAACCACTGAGCTGAATGGCTATCAATCATAGGCAATATATCAAAGATCTTTCAAGTAACAGAGGAGGATAGGAGCACCGCACAAAGTGTAATCTAGGCCAGATAAGAGCTCAATGTCTTAAATGGTCATAGATTCAAGTAGCACAATAAAAACACACACATATAGGATAAATATATTGGACTGAATCAAGCCTGTGGAAAATTGTGCGTGCACATAGCCAAGGAGCTTATATGTAAATGATCGCCGTAGAAGCGATCGCATCGGAGAATTTATCTGCTAATTGTCCCATAGCCTTCCCGAGGGCCTGGCTTATCTGGAAGCGGGGCAATTACGGTTCGAAAAGCTAAGAGAACCCTGAATTCCCGTGTTGTAACCATACAATGGCTCGTGATGTGGACTCACAGGAAAATCCAAGTTTAGCCGTCAATTGAACCGTAATGAAGTCACGCAGGCTATTGGTGGAAAGCCAAATCCCTTGATCTCAAGACCCGCCGATTTCAAAATATTACGCTATGAATCTTCAACCAACGGTCACTTCCATGACTCAGGGCTTACTCTGCGATGCAAATATTTTTCCGAGACTCTACACTTTCCAGCCCGGAATATGCTCATTGCGCTTTGAACGAGCCATCTTAGTGAGCGGATTTCACCAATTTTGAGACTCTAACAAGACAGCAAAAATAGGAAGGGAGGTCTTACCACCCTTCATTTCTTCGTTTAGATACGATGACTGGGTATGGCGCGTGTAACTGGGCTATCATTCGGAGCCCTCGCAGTGACCAAACAAACGCTGACCAAGTGCATAGTGCTCAGACAGAAGTTTCCACATGATCTTGTACGCTGGTTGTATTGTAGTGGAGTCGAAGGAAACTAGCCGGCAATTTATTGTCTTAGCTACACTATACACCGGCTTTCTACAATGCCATCGCTGGAGTCTGCTGCACCTCTTGGCAGGGTTTCAACTTATCGAACCCAAAAACCAATGACCATCATTCAATGAATGTTAAGTTGCTGTCGATTAGAGGCAAATCCCCCTCAGCGAGAAATCATCGGTATCAATAAGTTGGATACTCAAGTATCCAGAAAAAGGATATCTTGTGGTCATATTTTATCTACACCAGCACAAGGTGGATATCTATCTGAAAGTTAAGGGCTATATTTTCATCTGGTGGTAAAAATTAGACTCCTGTGTGCTTTACAATTCCTCAAATCCATGTGCGGTAGATGTCTACAATTTTATAATCCTACGCTAGGTAGCTAGCAGCTTAAGGGAAGCATAGAATCATCGTTATATTGCCTGTGTAGTTTAACGAATCTTCTAGGAATTCTTGACTTTACAGCTATTTCTCAGGTTGATGGGTCAAGCATTCCCATCAACACTTGTGCAGTTTCTAATGATCTCATTGGGAAATTTAGTGTTGGTATGACCGGCATATCTCCACTAAAAAAGGCTAATTACAGTCTCGGCAGATACTGCCAGCGGGTAACAACGATATGGAATAGGACATTAAATGTTTAGTAATTTGGTCTAGGTCGGAGGAGACTATCGTAGAGGAGGTTTTTCTTTTGCCATGAGTCTAAAATTAGGTAACCGGGGGTAAGGGACCGCGTGTGAAAGAGATCGTCTTTCCATCAACGGGGACTGGAGGGCAAAGTAGACGAAAGCTTCCATCATCCGAGTCTTTAGAGCTGACGTCATTTATTCCAAACATCACCCTAGGAATATTGTATATCCGGAGATAAACCTGCCCCGGTACATACCAGATAACCCCTGGTACTTATTAAGAGCTCCAATCTCAAGCATATTTATTATCATTTTGGATAGGATTCTTTACGCTCTCATACATACTTTACAAATTGCTTCAAACCAAAGATGGCCCCCATTACAGTAGGCGATGTCCGTATCACAGGTCCAGCCCTCGCAGCCTGCCTCTACTTTCCTAAGCAGTTAGAACATCTCTTATCTCCACGATCAAAGGCATGGATAACCTCACCTCTTGTCGTAAGGACTCTCGCTGCACTTATCGGACTCGATTTACTACGGAAGACGAGCAACATGCTTTCACAGCGTGTGTCTAATAACGGCAAATGCGTCAAGTTCGTACCCAGCAAAGAGCTGGTGTTAATAACGGGTGGCTGTAGTGGAATAGGTCTATTGATGGCCAAGGAATTCGCAAAACGCGGAGCAAAAGTTGTGATTGTGGATCTAAACCCCCCACAGGAGACCCTTCGTGAGCAACCCCCATGAATTCAAGAAAGTCATAAACAGTACTCTAACCCTCATAAAGCGGAAAATATACACTTCTATCAGTCCGATGTAACCTCTGTAAGCGCAGTTGGGGCGACAGCTTCGCTGATTCGGAAGGAGCATGGCGACCCAACAGTTCTTGTTAATAATGCAGGAGTTGGAACTTTACAATCCATCCTGGACGGCGATGAGAAGTCTGTTCGTAACACATTTGATGTCAACACAATATCTCATTTTTGGACAACTCGGGAGTTTGTTCCAGCCATGGTCAAGAAAAACCACGGGCACATTGTCACAATTGCTAGCATGGCAAGCTATGTCGTCCATGTGAGTATTTTTATGTAGAAAAGCTTTGCTTCACTCCCCAGGTCTTTATGTTACTCTGATCGAATTACACAATTTGTTCCTCCCTCCCGGCTTACCTTTCCGAAATTTGGCTAATATATCACTTACTATTGCAGGCACTCAACGTAGATTATTGCTGCAGTAAAGCATCTGCCCTTTCTTTTCACGAAGGGCTATCAAGTGAATTGCGAAACATATATAATGCACCAAATGTTCGAACAACGTAAGTTTTAATGTTTGATAATATATTTCTCCATCATGTTGCTAATAGTCTACCAAATACAGTGTGGTCAACCCCTCTTGGATCCGTACACCTCTAATTGAAAGACTCATTAACAGCAAGCAATGGCGTACACCAGTTATGGAGCCAGACTACGTCGTAAATATTATCGTTGATCAAGTCATGGCCGGAAAAGGTGGCCAAATTGTGTTACCACCAAAGCTTAATTACGGAACGACAATTCGAGGATGGCCTTTGTGGATGCAGACTGGGCTACGTAACTTGATCGGCACGGAGTTGAAAAAAGTTAGGGATTCCCTCGAAGTAATCTCGAATAGTTGATTGGATATAATCTATATAGAAAATCATTGCTACATGCAACCGTTTACAGGTTATTAATGGAGGGATATAATGTAAACTTGCCTCCACAATTACCACAGCTTCGCTTGCAAAGTGGTGGATGTTTGATGCGCATGGCCTTGGCATTAGAATCAAATTGGAGGTGCTCAGTTACTGCTGAAAGCTGATAAAGATGAACATTTGTATATTTGATAGTTTAGGATAATATTTTCACTAGGCTTAATAGGTCATTATCAACAGCAAATATCACACAATACCTCTAAGAAATAAATACTTGTTTTTTTTACAAAAGTAGTGAGAATCAAGCCAGTTTGTGAAATCACTTGAAATAGATCTGGTGACAAAATCGCCAGGATACCTCACTAGCGGCATCTCCTAGTAGCTGACGGCAATACCGATAAAGATAAGGCCAGAATAGTCAGGTGGATTGATCAGATATCGCAAGAGTCATAGCTGGACGTCAGCTATGTGATGTAAGTAAAGCATGTGACACAATGCAGCTCCCATCAGCGCCTAGGTAACGAATAAAGAATCGACCCTAGCGATGGGCCACACTCAGGCACAACACCTGTATTCAAGTAGAGACCGACGAAGTTCTGGCTTTCTGTTGTTATGCAAGTCCAACTAACATGTGATAAGGTCACGTGAAATACATAAGCATGACGTTAAATTTGAGGAATAAGTAAATAAATTGAGGCCGTTCGCTGGACAGTCTGGTCACCAGCCATCAAAAGGGTTTAGACGCGTGTCTAAGCTAGCTTTACCATGGGGAGCCGGTAAATTTTTGCGCGCTAAGAGTACAAATACTCCTGTCAATATAGGTTGATACTGATGTGCTAATTCACTTAGTCATACTCTTAATAGGATAAACTGATGTGCTTCCCTAGAGGGCATAAGTGGATCACAGTCTTTGTCTATAGTTGGGCCGGAGCCTGTGGGGCAGATGCCATGGTCAATGCTTTGATTCGGGGCTCGTGCACTCAACGAAAATGCGGTGACACCGGGAAGCGGCGCCGAGAACGGGTCGTCCTTTCCATTTAGACTTTGGGTCGACAACAGGGGAGCCCCACGCATGGCGCGCACCAACTGTGGTACGACGGAAATCACTGCAGCTCCAGGGACGCCATAGCTCTAGTCATTCAAATCCTCGTTTCTCTCCCGGATGTGATTCTTCCCAAGCGAGTGCGGTATTTCCCGCGAAACATGCCCCCGGCTTAAAATTAGGGTAAAGATGAGTCATCAGCAGAGTACCGGATGGGGCGATGCTCCAGGCCGCTCCGCCCTGTGGTTACGCCGAAAGGGCGTGTTGGCCGTGTAATATAGCCTGGGCATTTGGAGCTAGATTTGCGGGTTGCTTGGGCTTGCGGTGGATCGAGGCAAGTTTCCGCGAGTAAAGGGCAAAGGGCTCAATTTTCTACCTCGCCTAATATCATTTAATTGACCACCTTCCGCACCACTTGACTGGTCGTTGTGCTTTCCGTCTTCGGGCCAGCTATACTCATCTTTGATACAATATACCTCAGTAACAGCGGCAGCACTTATTGACTATTTCTCTACATAGGTGGCTGATATCATAGCCCGAACCATGGCCATATCCAGTGATGGGAATAGGCGAAGACTTGCCCTCAAAAACGCTTTAAGTAGTGTAGGCTCTCGATGATCTCGGTGGGTTTTCAGGTATCTCGTCTCCCTGTCATCAATATCTTTCTGTGCTTGAACGCCGATCGCCCTGGAATTAAAGAGCAAATCTATTTCAGAAATTGTCACAACCAACCCTAACGACATGGAAGTCGAAACAGCCTCAAAAGATGACATCTCCGCGGACAAAGGTTCCCAATCCCCCCAGTCCTCGCAGCGCGAGAATCCTGCTCCTCTGAGGGAAGCGAGCAGTTCAACCCACCTGGCGACCACGAGCCAAGACTTTGAGCCTGGCTTTTGGAAGCCGCTAAAACCGCGGAAATTTGCCGACCCTGCACCGCTCGGTCTCTGTGCCTTTGCACTCACGACCTTCGTCTTAAGCCTCATGAATATTCATGTCCTCGGGGCCCACAAAAACAGTCTCGTGATCGGGTTAGCCTTTGGCTATGGTGGTATCGTGCAGTTACTGGCAGGAATGTGGTATTATGCCTTTCCTGACGAGATGTTTTATAGCTTTTTGAACCTACTAATATAACTGTGTTAGGGAAATCTTCATAGGTAACACCTTCGCCGCAACTGCTTTTTCATCATATGGCGGATTTTGGCTTGCCTATGCTATTATCAATATGCCTGGTGGCTTTGGAATTAGCGAGGTTTATACCAACCATAATGACGGTGCTATTGAATTCAACCTTGCCGTCGGATATTTCCTAGCTGGCTGGTTCATTTTTACCACACTCCTGCTGATATGCACCTATCGAACCACCTTGGCTTTTTTTGCTCTGTTTTTGAATATAGATATTGTCTTCTTGTTATTGACAATTGCTCACTTCCTTTCACATCCTGATGGCTCGCTACCGCATGCATGGATTGCCAGTAGTGGCTATTTCGGGTTGGCCGCCGCTTTTCTAGCGTGGTACAATGCATTGGCTGCAATCGTAGATGATAGGTTTGTTGCATCCCTTTTCTCAGTCCTATTAAGATATCTAGCTATTCCAAAAATCTTAGGTCTCCCACTCCAGCAAATAACTTTGCTAACCTGAAATCAGCTGCTCTTCTTGCGTAGTTCCCGTGTATCGATTTCCATGGGCCGATAGATGTCGTAGACAAAGTGCCACCGCAATCGAGGTGGGAACTAGTAGCATTTCATGAAGATTGAATGATTATGGCCTAATTATATCTGGCTCCGGATAGCTTAATTTCGGTTCTACGTCAAACTTTAAAGCAACCTATTTCCCTAGGTTTTGTTGCCTAGACTAGTCATGTCATTCTTTGGTGGTTTATTTGAACATGTTGGTACTCTTGAAAATTTTCCTGTATAGTCTTTCAAGATGGGTATTTTGATTGTGATTTTCTGTTCGGGTTTGCTTTAAATTGTGGTATCTGCAGTTATATATGATCATTTAGGTTTGTATGTTGCTCTATATCTTATTATTGCTGTATCAATTCTAAATTATCATATCCATTGTTATTGGATATGTATAGCCCACACTGCTTTAAGTTCTACTTATACAGTTTTATATATTGTTGGTGAGGAGTTGACGCTGCAGATAGCCAAATACCAAGATCCACACGTGCTAGATGATGAGAAACGATGGCTATGATCTAGTTGAGAACCCTTGTAGGGGAATTCTTTATTGCCACGCCATCGCATTTTGTGAAATTTTCATGCCGCTGATACACGACTCTACTAGGATACATATAGATCAATACCTATCAAGTCTTGGATAGAACAAATCTCCTTGTTGAAACATAATTGTGTGTAGCTTTGTTGGCTCAATAAGTCTATCACGTTGTATTGGAGCAATTAGTTGCGTAGGGTGGAAAAGTAAGCGTTGGTGTGACAGTTTTCCTCAAATGCTTGCTCGTTTAGTCACAGGCAATGAAGCGAGCGAGGAGACAGAAGTTGTAACGACTTGAGTTTAGAGAGAGATACAAGCTAATAGGCTAGAGCTCAAATGCTAAGTTTTAGCATGGCGTTAGACGTTAATTTTGCCCTTTAGATCATTCCCACTTCCTCGCACCATAGTTCAAGTCTACAAGCACGACATATTACATCCTCATCCCAATGACTACACCTCTCATGACCTTCTCTGGCCTCAGTTGACCACCAAATACACGCCCACGCCGATATTTGTACCCGACGGAGGAAGCAAAGCGTGGCGCACGAATCTGGGAGATAGTTCTTTGAGATGGACGTGAGAGTTATCAGGACAAGTTGATAAGATGATGCGAAGGATGGTTACAAACTCGACGGGCGTGTCATTTCGAACCTTTGGCAAAGAGTTTTTACAAATTGAGCTTTGTGCGCGCCAAGACTTCGCTTGCGAGAGTGCAGCTGACACTGTAAAATTTAACAAACGATGAGAGGGTTGTGGTCCGTCCCCTGGTGGTGTTCTCCGGCATAGTCTGAGTTGGCTGGGCACCTACTCCACTTAGGAAGGAGACGCCTAAGATCGTATTTCGCGCGGAGGAAAGATAATGATGACGGAGGCATGTCTGGATAACCCAGGGTTTAGAGACGTTCCCCTGGGTGGGTATTCACGGATGAGGGCTAACTTGGGGTGAAGAAAAAGCCGCCATAACCTCGCAGTGGTACTTGCAAATGAAACCCGAGCCATGGGTGCTCTTCTTTTAAATTGAGTCATCTATTATACACTTCTCTGATATTGTGTCATAGCTAGATAGCTGCATACCCAAGTAAAATCTGATGCAAAAAAAAGCGACCCGTGAGTCAGCATTGCATAGAAGCCGTGAAACATCGAGCTTTGAAGAGTCTACAACCTCCACAACTCTCAATTTTAGAGCTTAACCCTCAGGATTCATTAGCACAAAGTTGTGATGTTCATGTTAGAAATTAATACATTGATTAAGTGACTGATTAGATAGTGCCTTAGGTAGTCCTTCAAAGCCTAGGAATGAATGAATGTTTATTCATGACGAGTATAAGCCCTGCACTTGAAGAGCATGACTTGGAGAAGACTAGCACATGACAAAAGTTATGTAGGTGTTGTACAACTACACTAAGCGTGCGTTGGGCATCAACATGTTCTTGGCAAACAGTGAAGGGAAAACTGAGCACGTGATGTAATCATAATGTATGAAGTGCTGAGTAGTTTTCTCTAGGTAGCGACAATGTATCATTTGTAATAACCTGAGATATAGTTCCACCTTTATTCTGACCTAGTTGATCATATCGACTAAATGCGTTACCATTTGTCATAACTAAACTCTAGCTTCTCCGACGACTTCATATGAAGTTAACTCAGTTTAACGTCAAGACTACTCATTTAGTGGTTGCATTCGCCGACACCAGCCGAGACATTTGTGCCAAGGACTTTCACCCTTCCCTCAATCGTTAATATCCGCCAAAGGGAAAATAGGAAAAACCTTTGGCTACCCTAACATGCCTTTGCCATCTTGTATATAGCCGCCGCGCGAGATATGGCCTCACAGTCCTCCCTTTCTCGAGTGAGGTCGGTGTCCAGGCTACCCAGACTTTAATTCGGGGAGATGACGACCAGGAGGCGGACCAAAATACCATCCATCGTTGCCTCTTTTTAGAGTGTCGGTTGCACTATCCATATCGTTGCTTCATGTTGGAAATATCGCGCAATGAAATGGGCGTAATATTCATGGAACGAAAGTAGAAGCTGACTAAAAGAATGTCATGTTAGGATTAAAGCTAGAGTGTGGGAAGTGTGCGCTACAAGTACAGGTGTAAGCGACACAGAGCCTAAGCCACAGCATAAACGAGTGTGGCGCCATCTAGGCATAGAAAACCCCCAATAATCTCCTTGCGCTCACGCCATACAGCTGCTCATGTCTCCAATAGTAGCCTGAAGCGCTACCATATTACCTATTCCAACCTCTTAAATAAACACAATATCGTGTCGGGAACCAAGACGAAATGGAGGGCCCATACGTCCACAACACTCCATGTCTCCATTTCCAACACTTCTGCACCCACAGACAATCTTAAGTCGAGAATACTCGAAAAATGTGCGTGCCATCATGCCCATTTGTGACCTCTTCAATCGTTCGTCCTACGTACCAGCTGCTTGTCCTCCCTCAAGATGTGAAGCACCATTAGAGCAAAGGTCCCCCCACGGACCAAAACCTGAGCTTTGTAGAATATGACTTAATTTCCTCCTCGTTGGTATACATAGCAGCGTAGATTTGTACTGGGAGATGGCCGATTGCAACTGGGGTAACGCCATTATCGGTATTTAAGGCGAGGTGGTGTAGTAATATTGAGGTTGAGGTCTCGCGTGAGAACAATAGGTCAAACATTTGTCAAGAAGTCATCGACTTTAGGTACGCTTGAGGTTGCCTCCGACTTCGATTCGAATGTGATTCTTTTTGGCTATCCCAGATATGTAGAGCACACTGAGCGATTACACCGGCACCACTGGAAGGTGAAGAATTCGTCTTTGCCGGCATCTCAGGTATTGAAGATGTAGCCTATCTTCTCTATTCGATAAATTAAAGCCCGTCTAGCGTTGAACAATTTACCAGTCCCCTCCTTTACAAGCTATGCTTCGTCTGAGGAGTGTTTGACTGATGCCCGGAGTGCGTTCCTACCATGTTCCTTGCATTTTTTTCGGGTCCAAGACTAGTGTTAAATGTTTTTGCCTACCTTGACTTTAGTACATGTAAGTGAACAACCTGATGCTAATGCCGTTCCATCCGAATATTGGCATGGCCCAAAGGATACGCTGGTCATACCCAATTGACATGTCGTAACAACCAATCACTGACCATTAGTCCCGGTAAAAAAATATATACCTTTTCTGAAGTAAGATGTACAAATTTATAGCCTTAGACACTAGTGCTTGAAGTCTCAGCCCGTACAGCGATGGTAAACACCAGTATTTAAGGCCACCTGGACCAGGTAAGGTTATGGTCTCAGGGTGAAATTTTAAACTCAATATGGCATTGGTCAGTGATTGACTCGAACACACTCAAGTACAGATAACGGCATATTTACTTTCAGGAAATAGTGGTAGAACGGCATCATAAGTTTATCTGATCTGAAATTTTGGAAGATACTATCGCGTCTTCTTTTAGATGGCTCTCGCGAGAGCGCTGACTGCGTTACTCGTGATGCCGCGTTAACGTTTGAACTCGCGACAAAAACTGAGTAGCCGAATACTACTGACGTACTGATTAAGAATCATCTACATCTGGTATTTCTGGGCTCTTTTTGATTTCATAGGCCACAGCCTAGAAACGGAAATTCAGCATATTGGTTTGGATGCACATACCCTTATTTTCACCGGGATCCAGGATTGGGCGTAGGCCATAGCAGCTTATCTTTTAAGGTTATGTGAGGGAATCACAAAAGACCCTCAGAAACTGAGATAGTTTGTTTCTCATGTTAAGTCTAGCTTCTCGTCTCCTGATTAGAAGTAAGATGGAATTCTATGCACAGATACTGTTTCCTTAAAATCTAGTTGGCCTATCTCAAAGTGAGCGGGTACACGTCGTTGCCTATCGACTGATTAAATTAACCCAGATTCTTGTCAAACGTTTTAACGTCATTTCTTACACATATGCTAGTTGCAAAGTGTAGGTCTTATGCCCATGAAGGTTGAGGACACAAATACCTCAAAGATAACCTCCACTCTCGTTACCAATCTTCACAACTCTGCCATTGATAATATAGTAAGGAGATTATACCTCTACATTATATCCCCTCGTCAACCAATAAAACGAAAACCATTCGCGACCCATCAGCAGTTGGAAAAGCATGCAAAAGCTACTGGGTGCAGGGTCCTCTTAAGCCGACACGAAGACTTACTCCGAAAATATCTACTTATCTGAAGTGTTCGAAGATGCTGATCAGCTTAGCGCTGCGTAATCGTGTAAAAATAATTTAGATACTCCATACTTCAATGGCCTCCTGCGTACTTCCCTAATTATTGCCTCGCCAAGGATCAAATATGGTTGTAAAAAGCTAGGATAGTCTTGAGAGCTTGGGTTGCAAATCTACCAATTTTTTTGTGCTGTTTAGGCCAGTGTGAAATTCTATATACACCTAGAAAAAAGGAGGCACCTTACTGACAATGATTTATTATTGGCCCTACAGACTCCCCGGTGCGAGCTGGAGATTAGTAGTCTTTGTCCATAATTGATCCATGAACAGTAATTGGCTGATCAGTCAGTATTCCTGCAGTATTTATCTAACCCAAAATAAGTCGACATTCTCGTAAGCGGCTCCGAAATTCCTAAGCTTATTACTAGTGTGTCAATCTTTGCTCATTAATGAGATGAATTCAAGACGCCATGACTCGATGACGGTAGGCATCAAACAAAAGTCAACTCCGCTTTATCCGGGACTAGTGTCAAAACATTGGCATCGGTGTAAATCTCGACCACGATGTGTTTTGATTTAGGCAAGGCCGGTATATTTTGACAACAAGAAGCTACTTCGGTATTGCCGGCGATGGCGATATACAGTTAGCCTCTCGTAGAAGTATGGCCAATATTGCACATGATGGCATCATATTAGATGGGCTATCGGTACGATAATCAAGCTGCGCATTGGGATGTATGATAAAATCAATTTTGTTGCCGGGCTGTCATGAAGTAGTGCGAAACAAAGCGCGATATCAGGGTGGCAAGTGATGGGATGTTTAAAAACCAGCGCTTGGCTAAAACAGGGGTCTTGCACACACCGTTGCCTGATTAGCCCCGGCCACAACGCCAGAAATTCGCCTGATTTAGAATATTAAAATCCCACCTTCGGTCTTCCGAAAAAAAAATCACGCCCTTTGCGACCCTCATCTCGACAAATGCATATCGAACAAGACCCTATTCCAAACTTTGCCTCGCGCCCTCAATCTCTGATGCGCAGTGCTGAAATACTTAAAAGACTTCACCGAAACTACTGCTCTCAAACTCGTGCTGATGCAGAGCGTCGACGCGGTGCACCATGAATCCTCCTATGCCTGCTTTGAACACTGTTCGCGGATTTCACACTCCCGCCTTATCAGGAGATGAAGAATCAGACCACGGAACAAGAACACCTGGAGGACGACACAAGATATACGATGTTGTCAGTGCCAACAGCAGCCCGATGCTGCGCCCTACATCCAACAAGGGCTTAGGAGGAATTAGCAAGCTCAAATTACAGCTCGAAAAGATGAATTTGGAAAACCATAACAATCTTAGATCGTTTAATCCTGCCTCAGACTATACAAAAACGATTATTGACACACCCGATACAGAATTCAGTGACGAAGAAATATCTACAATACAAGTCTTCGAGAAGACAAAAGTTAGCAAGAAGGACAACTATAGAATGATTGAGGGGGATCCGCGCAACAGTTTACAACCACCTCAAATGATAGCTTCTGATTTTGAAACGATACGCTGTCTTGGAAAAGGTACTTTTGGAATTGTTTTCCTAGTGAAACAACAAACCACTGGACGACTCTACGCCCAGAAACAGTTTAAGAAATCCTCCATCTCTTTGCACAAGCGACTTATCCAACAAACTAGAACCGAACGTTCGATCCTTGAATCTGTCAACCGTCACCCTTTTGTAGTTAAGCTCTTTTATGCATTTCAAGATGACGAGAAGCTTTACCTTATTCTCGAATATGCGCAGGGTGGGGAGTTATTTACTCACCTGGCCCAGCTTCGTATGTTCCCCGAGCCTGTCGCTGCCTTCTACATGGCTGAGATGGTGCTTGCACTTGACCACTTACACCAACAACTGGGAGTCGTGTATCGAGATCTTAAGCCTGAAAACTGTCTTTTAGATTCTGAGGGTCATTTACTTTTAACAGATTTTGGTCTCTCAAAAGTTGCCGCGAGTGACGATGACAAATGTACCAGTATGCTTGGAACAGTAGAGTATATGGCACCCGAAATTATTCTCGGTAAACAATACGGCAAAGCTGTGGATTGGTGGTCATTAGGTGCTTTGGGATTCGACCTTCTCACGGGCTCTCCGCCATTTCAGGGACAAAGTCACGCAAAAATACAGGAGCGCATAGTTAAACAAAAGGTTCAAATGCCTTACTTTCTCTCCGCCGAGTCCAAAGATCTTCTTACACGTCTTCTTCGCAAGGAGCCATCTAAGCGACTAGGCTACAATATGCCCAAGGACCTGCATACCATTAAGAAGCACCGTTTCTTTCGCAAAATTGATTGGAATCTCCTGGAATTACGGAAACTTGAACCACCCATTCAGCCGATTATTACAGACCCGGAGTTGGCGGAAAATTTTGCAGATGAGTTTACTAGACTACCATTCAGTCCTGTGACTGCTGGAATCATGCCCGGTCTCAAGGACCCTGCGAACAGAATTAAGGTCCCCGAGACCAAAGTCGATAACCCATTTGGTGGGTTTAGCTATGTTGCTAGTCACAGTCTTCTGGAAGGGGCGTACGGCGGACAATTCACTAGATCATGAGATGACGCGTCGTCATAAAATTATACCTTGAAATCCTTCTCTTTATTATTTAGAACTCAATGTGCATTGGTCAGAGGTGGATCTCATTTCTATGGGGAAGGAAAGAGAATGGAAAAAATTGGAATTGTGGTTTCTTTTATGCAGGATAAAAGTGTTTCTTCTCAGGAATAGGGAGATGGGGGTTCAATTCGGCGTGCAAAGAGCGTTTGGAAGACTAAGAATTGGCACAGTCATCATGTAACTTATATTTGGGCTGGGAGACTGGACTAATCTGGACGGCAAGTGATTCGGATTGGACGTGGCAAGTTTGAATGATACCATAGCTAAAATACCCGGAGGGAGAATTCGAGAGAGGTACTAACTAAGGCTTCGAGGGCGTAAAATTCACATTTCAGAGAGAAAACTTTTTTCTGCTGCAACGGACATATACCTCTGCCTTGCTGTTCATTTTTAATTGACATCTCCCGGAAATCCCGCATATCATACCCAAACCATTCTCTGCAGAAAGGTTTGTATTCTATAAAAACGTGAGCATTTACTCTTTATTATTAATTCTTTTATCGTCCTTTCAGTCTATGATTACATAGGATATGCAAGTCCTCTCTACCTATTGACCAAGGATGCCAATCTAGCAGTATATCCTCTCCTATGCCTCTTGTGTGGCTACCTATCTGAGGCGTTTGAAAAGAACTGCTAGCTTGGCGCTTCAGACTTGTGGGTACCTGGGGAATCCACTTATTGCCTTTCTAGCCTCCTTCCAACTCCTTCCCGAAGGTCGTGATGAAATGTAAGAAAAGACTTGATAGAGCGTGATTGCTCTATGACAGCTTAGCTCAACTTCTTTTGTACCGTCCAGGGCGCTGGGGAGTGCCGTTGACTCATCGACAAAGAAGCCCTCCTGGCTAATTACCCGAAATCTCGGTCTTGGCGCCCACAAAAAATCCAAAGGTTGAAAACCCCTCGAAAATGTCAGTCCCAGCATGGTCTTCAGAGACCCATTTCCTCTCTCGCTCCACATCTCAGCCGCCTGTTCTTCCTCAAGATGTATAACACCATTAGAGCATCAGTCCCCCATAAACCAAGACCCCAACTTTGTATTTATCGACTTGATTTCCTCCTTGCGGGTATAAATAGCGTCGTAAATTTGTAGTGAGAGATGGCTGGAGATTAATGGGGCAAGCTCCTGTATGCAATTGGAGCAACTTCTTTGTATGCGGTGTCCTCTACGAACCTAGGAGTGAAATATTCTTCCAGAGCCTAGTTCAGTCAAATTTCGCAATATCAAAAGAAGTTGGCCCACGAGGCAACAATTCAAACTACTCCTCTACGTCGTTTTTCCGCACCCAACGAGTTCGACGCCTACCTAAGTCTCATCAAGTCTACAAGTGCGACCAAGTACATCCTCATCCCAAGGACCACACCTCTCTTCGACCTTCTCTGGCCTCAGTTGACCACCAAATACACGCCCACGCCGATATTTGTACCCGACGGAGGAAGCAAGGCGTGGCGCACAAATCTGGGAGACAGTTCTTTGGGATGGAAGTGAGAGGGATTAGGACAAGTCTACAATATGATGCGACGGAAGGAATTAGCCTCGAAGGGAGTGAAATTTCGTATCTAGGCAAGAGTTTTACGAATTGAGCTTTGTGCGCGCCAAGACTTCGCTTGCGAGAGTGCAGCTGACATTATAAAAAGAAGCAAACGATGGAAGGTGTTGCGATCTGCCTCCTGGTGGTGTTCTCTGGTATAGTTTGAGTAGCCTGGGCACCTACTCCACTTGCGAAGGAGACATCTCAGATCACATATCGCGCGGAGAAAAGTTGAAAGTTGAAAGTTGATGGAGGCATGTCTGGATAACCCAGGGTTTTTGAGACGTTCCTCTGGGTGGGTATTCACGGATGAGGGTTGACTTGGGGTGAAGAAAGAGCCACCATAACTTCGCAGTGGTACATACAAGTGAAATCCAAGGCATGAGTGCTCTTCCTTTGTATTGATTCATCTATTATGTACTCTTCTTTGATATTGTGTCATAGCTAGATAGCTGCATACGCAATTAAAATCTGATGAAAAAAAGAGCAACTTCTTTATTGGTCGTTGATGCGAGATGATGCGTGGTTAGAGATGGGTTGAGGACTCAGATGATAGTGATGAGAGAGGCATTGTCGAGACGTTGTCAAATAGAGATGTGTTTGAGGTTGCTTTCGACTTCGATTCGGACGCGATTATTCTTGGCTATCCCAGATATGCAGAGCTTACTGAGCGATTACACTGGCACCACTGGAAGGTGAAGAATTCGTCTTTGCCGGCGCGTCATAGACTAGAACATATGTATGGATATCTCTTGTATTTAGACCTCTCTTCTCTTACTATCGCACAACACAGTTATATTCTCTTTCCTTTAGTACATGACCCGTGAGTCACCGTGACATTATGTGCGATCTCAATGGTGTCCCGCCGTATATGGATTCCGACATAATAGAAAAATTAACTACCTTATTCTGACTCCTGCCTGCGACCTGACACAAAACCCGAAGAAAATCCCAGCTATCATCCCATAGAGCTTCTCAACAAATTAAAAAAAATGTAATTGTTACAAACATGGACTCCGACCCCAGAGCCACTGAAATTATCATTGCTTTTCAGAAGAGCTGGCCGAACTTGAGCGCAGCAATTGAAGGGCATCAGTTCCCAAATGGTTCGAATCCAGCTTCTCTGCTGAGCTCGATTGATTAAACCACTAACACATCCGAAATTATTTTATTTTGTGGTTTACTTCAGTGTTTTGATTCAAAAATTGGTGAAATCAAAAATACACACATGACTGAAACTATCTCCTTAAATTCAACCATATCTAATTTAAATTTAGCACGCTCTTTAGACAACAACAAGATGTCAACTTTAAATGATAAAATATCAAGCTTACAGTCTGAAATTAATAAACTACAGGTTGATGCTATTCTCAGCATGAAACCCTCGAACATTGATTCTACAGACACAATATTGCGTCGGACTAGATCCAATACAGAAAATTTTTCTGCTGCACAAACATGTACTGAAAAACGACAAACTCTATATGAGAGTTGGAAAATACAGATCCAACAAGTGTTGATTGTGGATGGTAGTTGCTTTCCTGGAAATTTCAATGGTATATCGTATATAACCAGCCAACTCTCAGGGAAAGCATGGGAAGATATTTAAGACAGTGTTCAGAAAATGAATTCACACCCAAGTGATTCAGAGAAGTGGCATTGGAGAATGCAAACAGACTTATGGCAAGTCCTTGATAGGAGATACATTCTGCTTGATACTACCCAGATGGCAAAGAATGCCTTAGACACACTTTACCAAGACAAACGTGCTTATGGAGATTTTAAGGCCGACTATGATCATTATATAGAAAGGGCAAAATACTACGACCGAACTAAAGTGGACCTCCTTAGAAAATGACTTAATAGAAAGATTACTGGCGTTAATAACAACCAAGTAAATCTTCCTGATTCAGACAATTACACTGGGTGGAGTGATATGATCAATAATATTGCTCGCAATATCAAACAACAGGAGTTAATACTCATGTTGCAATCTTCATCAAATTCAATGCAACAGAATTACCACCCAATAGACGATTTGTTACCTCATACTGGACCATCCGATCCTGAAGATTTAATGGACCTCAGCCGCATGTCAACATCAAATGCTGAGCGTAAATTTCGAAGGGAAAACGGCTTATGTCTTGCCTGTGGTAAAACTGGATATATGGCCAAAGATCATCATCGCAAAATTGACCCAGTGCCAATGCCAAAACGTTCTACTAATCAATGGACATCTCGTGAGAGGAATGAATATAAACAATTCCCTACTTTTAATACTCATGATCTGCCTAGCACTAAATATTTAACACCAGAAACTCAGCCCTTGCCGATTCCGATGATGTTTTATCATCCGCCTCGATTTCTTCCCAAATACCATCATCAGTCACCATACCAATTCTTAAACTCACAGCTTTTATACCCCAACGCTCCGGTTCAATCTCGTCTGAGAGTGTTAAATGGAAACCACAGATTTGAAGAACATTATCAATCTCAGAATTCGGGGGATTTAAAAAAAGCATATAGAAATTGTGAACAGTTAAAAGACCAACCCCTAGTTTAAGTCGCTGCCAGGGGTACAATTGGTATGGAGATGAAGACAAGGCTATCCAGGATATATTGATGGATAATTCCACTTTGGAATTATGCTCAACTGGTTCCTCAAATTCAATGCTTCTTTGCTCTTCTCTCTCTAACCCGCGCACAAATAATTCAGTTATATTTCCCACAACAAGCTTGATTGATAGTGGCTGCACTGCTATGGCATTTGCTGACAAATATTCTATTGTCAATCGTTTTGGAATAGAAACAAAGCCCCTCTACACTCCACAATCTGTTCGCTTGGCCGATGGCTCTACAGAAGCCTCTATAACCCACTACTTTACATTCCGTTTGCATATTGAGCAACACTCGGAGATTATTGTCTTTTTTGTTACTAACCTAAGTAGATGTAATCCTATAATTCTTGGCCTGCCATGGCTAAAATTACACAACCCTAAATGTGATTGGAGCTCCTTGAGCCTCACTTTTAGTTCCTTGTATTGCCGACACCACTGCCTTGATTGGAAGTACCTACAGTCCAATCTGTCTCAGCAAGTAAGATCGGTTACAGCAATCTCATTGTCAGATAAGATTTTGTCAATGCCTGTTACACACATGCCACTTCAAACTGCTGCACCAGATAATTATGAAAATGAATCTTTCCTTCCCAATTCCAACAACCCTTATACACTAACATATGAAAAAGAACCGACCTTTACTACCTGCAAGGATGATAATGAATTTGATATCTCTCAAATTTTCCCTAGCCCTGATCATCCTGATATTTCAGATCTTTTACGTCGAAAAGTGATACAGAGTGATATTGATGAATTTCTCCAAGATAAAACTGAATTAAAAACCGATGCAATA